CACATGAAAATAATATTAGATTTTGATAAAATTCGAATTATTTAAAAAACCTTTAGATTTAGACATTATAAATCTTATTAAAACAAACACTTATTCAAAAGACCCTCAGAGAATCCAAAAATGCAATAATATATAGAGTATTGCATTTAGAAAAACACAACTTTGATACTTTTAGGGCTTTTGGGACACTTTGTACATTACAAAAATATTTTTAAAATGTGCACCCGATAGGCGTCTGTGGATTCATCAAATAACACTGTGCAAAAAACAAACGGTTTAGTCGCAAACGTCCGTACCGTATAGCGTGAATAACCCTGTATATTAGGCGAATTTATGTTTTGTTTTTATGTTGATATATGCGTTTTTATGTTGATATATGCGTTTTTATGTATAACAGCCCGTGCAAAATACCTTTACGTTGCAATAAAACTTTCATTTTTGTATTAGACGTGAAACATATTTAAACTAAATAAATTATACTAACTAAAAATATATATCGGAGGCCTATTTATTACCACCTAAAATAGTTAAAACGACCACTGTGCGGAGCTCGTCTCGAGTCTCGCGCTCAATTTAGTGGATTCAATTTGTTTTGTTGGTTCCTTTGCTCGCAAGCAACTTTTGCAATCTTATTGCGGAAGTAATTTGGGGGGTTGCGATTAAAACCGACGGCCAAGAAAAAGTTAATTTGTTAGCTCGTATAACTTTATTTATTCGTTTCCTTGTTTTATGTGCTCTGAGGCATAGAGAGAGGCCAAAAATTCAAGTCGTTTTCTTATACAGAGTGAGACAATTTAGGCAGGTGCACTGCCAAATTCAACGTTCCCTGTTCAAAAACCATTAAAACTTTATCATTCTCGATGTAATTTTGGGCCGCGAGGGAACGAGAAACATATTTCTTGTTGGTTATTTTCAGCTGGTGTTGGTGCACATTTAGTCAGTGCACGGGTTGAGTGCAACCAAACTATTAGTACCAAACTTCGCCGCTTCGCTGGTCATAAATCCCTCAACCCCAATGCGAATTAATCGCGGTTACAAACTAATGCGAACAGTTCAGTGCGGGATTTGTGCTGTTGCACTACTAAATACGCTTTCGGTAAAACTTTAGCGCTGCCCCTGGGGAGAACTTTTCCAATTTAATCGCCGAACAAGAGCACAAACAAATTCACTTACTTGCTCAGACTGATGCCATTGTTGATAAAGTCCTCGTGATGCAAAACGGAATCGTTCCAAGGTATGTCCAGGAAGTTGAGCACGTTTTCCATCCACTCCTTCGGATGGAGCACCAACTGTTCGTACGGCACGCGTAAACACTTGTTTTTGCCCATTTCGCGACACTGATTGTTCATGGCCTCCACCGCACTGTTCCACTTCTTCAAACATTGCCGATAGCTGGTCAAGTCGAAACCGGTGATTGTCACTTTTCTGGTGATAATTGAGTGGGCCGTGGCCCGACCGTCGCGCACCATGAAGATGAACTTGGCATTGGGGAACAGGTCGATCACGTAGCTGCCCATCTTGATCAGCAGCGGATCTTTGTTGCAAAGCCTTGGCGCCGGATCCCCGTGTTTTGCAATTATTTCCAGCGTAAAGGCTGCGATTGCCGAGTTGAGAACGTCGCTGGTGATGCCGGCTTGTTCCAGTCGCATTGACTCTTTTTCCGACTTGAGCCAATGGAATCGAAGCTGGAGCAAACGTGGTATGACGCGCGTTTCCTGACCACATCTGAAACCAATAAAACACCCTAAAATTCGCCTGGTTTTATCGCTAAATTCTGGTTGGAAATTTTTGCTCAGGATCGGTCAAAAAAGTCCTATCGGGCCGTCTAAGAATGCACTCAGTCGTTACCACCGCAATAAAGAAGGCCCGCTGGCTGAATTGTGACGTCACTTAAAGTAGCCCGACCAGGCATAACGCGTAGCGGAGTATATGATGGATCAACTGTACGAATATGAATATTTTATGATTAGCCTTTCTATTCCTAAAAAATGAACGTGGTTAACTAGCCAAAAATACTTTAATTTCAGTTATAGCTTAATATTTCATGTTTTCTTGTTTTCATGTGTCATTTCTTTTGCCACAATAAAGAGTATTGGTGACAGAATTTATGATAATCTTTACCGAGCTTATAGTACTATGCAGATCACATTGGGAAAATTCTGTTAGCAAATGATGATCTGTTATGTATTGTAAAGTTGTTGTTGACAAAAACGTCTTTTTATTGTGTACTGCTAAAAAGTTATCTTCATCACATTCCAAAATTTTGTTGAAAATGAGATAACCATACAAAACGATATTTGTTACATGGTCTTTTGGAAATTTAAGCTTACCCCTACTCAAATTTTTAATGAGTATGTGACTGTCTTCAACTTCTATTTGATCTGTAAATGTTAAATTTGACTGGCATATTTGGCATTTAAATTTCTTGGACAAAATGTAACAACAATATCCTGCTAGGTAGGTAATGACAGGCATTTCATGTTCCACATTTTCCAAATCACACCGAGAAATTTCTAAATTTGGGACAAACCAGTCCTACTTTGAAACTGTTTCGTTGTCAAAAATATCATCACTTTCATAAAAATGTTTTATTGTTAACATTCCAAAGCAACGAGATTTTAGCGACATTAATGACTGGATTCCAAGTTTTTTCTCGCACTCATATAATTGCCGATTGGAAATATTGTACTGCCCCCCCGCTAATTGCCTGTATTTTCCAAACATAGTTTCAAGAGGATCAGTTTGAACTTTTCCCAATAACAAATAATTCATATTAAGTTACTCGAAACAAAATGATACGATTTCTAACATGCCATAAATAGTGTGACGTAAAGCTATGGATGTGTGAGGAGTTAAAGGTTTTTGAAAAATGTTCTGATTTTTTCCAATTATCCAGTCATGTTAACATTTTGTGCAGAAATATAAGTTTCGGATCATTCGCTCCAGCCGTAGCTGTTATAGGCTCTTGATATAAATCATTAAGACGTTTCCCTTTATGTGGTGTTTTTACATTTACGATGTTCCACCAAGTCAATATAATGTTAATAAAATCAGCTGAATCTTTTGAATAAGCTATCTTAGAGCCAAACTGTAAAGAGCTTGAACTACAAATGGATTAATTATTTTCAAAGCAACATTTTGTATTTCAAAATTTGTAGCAAAATTTGAAGTTAAATTGTATCCAAATTTAAGCAGTTTGGCATGTTCCGTGTTATAAAGATCAATTAAACTGGTAAATGAAGCAAACTTTCTCTCACCTGTCTCAAAATCAGGATAAGTAAGCACTTTATCAAGCTTCTAATTTATCCAATTATTTCTAATACATTTTAGAAGATGCACTGTATCAAATAAGTAAAACAAAGGCCGGCTAGCATTTACAGAATGAGGATATACAATGCTTAATTGTTTTTGTGGTGAAAAAAGGTT